TTCAACATTACTGAGAACTCACCACGTGGCACAGTTGCTGGCAAGGTGGAGGCCCACGACAGCGATGTGGGGGCCTTCGGCGAGCTGACGTACACCCTGATAGGCGAGAATAATAAATACTTTAGCGTCGATGCCTACACGGGCAATGTGATGGTGGCCAATGCATCCATATTGGATCGCGAGCAACTGAAAGAGCTCACGCTTTCGGTTGTGGCACAGGATAAGGCACCAGCCACGGTACAGAAATCGGCAACAGCAACGGTGAGTGACAATAGATAGGTATATACTTAGATAACGATATGGATATAGATATAGATGTATATATATAGCAGAACTCTAGACAGATAGATCCCCATAAATATACATATATATTAATGCAGCATTTCTCATCATCTATCCAGATACACATCAATATTTTGGACGTGAATGACAATGCTCCGGTCTTCACCCGATCCGTGTACAATTCGACGGTTTCGGAAAATGCAGCATATCAGCCGCCAGCAGCACTACTGCAGGTGCAGGCCATTGACTTGGATGAGGGACTTTATGGGGATGTGCGGTATATAATAACAGCGGGCAATGAGCTGGCATTGTTCAAGCTTGATGCACAGTCCGGCATAATATATCCAGCACAAAGTCTGGCTGGCAAGCATGGTGTTTACGAGCTAACGATCTCAGCTCGCGACACTCAGGGCTCAGGCACCATGGAGACAACTGCAAAGGCCGTCATCACAGTTCTGCGCGTGAATCGCCATCGTCCAGAGTTTGTGATTCCGGCTCTGTCAAATGCCACAATCGAAATTCCCGGCGACATCGTGCAACCCGACTATTTGCTGCTGACCGTCAAGGCGTTGGACAATGACACTGATGGTATCGGAAAGGTTAGCTATCATTTGCAGGTGAATAATCAAAATGTGCAGCAGACGGCTGAGTTCAAGATCGATGAGGCCAGCGGGGAGCTACGCGTGAGGCAGCAGCTCAATCGCAAAAATCGTGCCAAGTAAGTTAGAGAAAAGTTTATTTGAAACGGACAATTCTTATCTAGATTTCCTTAATATCTCCGCAGTTATGATATCATATTGGTGGCACGTGATGCTGGCAATCCCCCATTCGAGTCCCTTCGCTTGCTGACCGTCAGCATTGTAGATGCGAATGAGAACCGTCCAGAGTTCCCGGACGCCTCTAATCCGTACAAGGTTTCAATAAATGAGAACAGCGGTCGTGACGTCAAGATTGGGCACATTCAAGCCGCCTCGCGTAGTAAACACAATCGGGACATATTTTATTACATGTTACTGGGTAATGAAGATGGCGCTTTCTATGTAGACAAGCTGTCTGGAGATATTTATACCAATAAGAGTCTTGATCGTGAGGAGACTGATGCGTATACTCTGTACATATTGGCCAGCATCAAGGCGGATTTACATATATCTGAAGAGGAGCGCGCTTCGTTTTCGATCAAGACATTGAATCGAGATAATACCGTCGCCAAGGTAGCTATCACCGTGCTCGATGTAAATGACAATGCGCCGGTATTTGAGAAACCCGTTTATTATGCGGGAGTTAATGCCAATGCCAAAATGAATGCGGCCATTACGATGGTAAATGCTACGGATGCGGATCAGGGTAAAAATGCCAAGATTGAGTACATGATCGTTGCTTCAAATCTGTACAAATTCGGTGCCACAAAATCAACGGGCTCCATTGTCCCCAGTCCGTTTGCCATATCGCAAGATGGCCGTATCACAGCCAATACAATAATGGCGGAGTACAACCAAGATCGGTTTGAGTTGGAGATTGTGGCTAGAGAACTGGAGCAACCGCAACGCTCGGCGAACACCAAAGTTAATGTAAGATAACAGGCAGCGAGAGACAATGAGAGATTATATTTAATAATTTATGGTTTTTAGATTTGGGTATTTGATGGTACTCAATTGGTCAGGGTGATTCTATCCCGGCCGCCAGAGGAAGTCTATCAGGAGCAGGAAGAGATCATAGCCGAGTTACGCAATGCTACGCAGCATCGAATCATTGTGGACGAAATTCGTTTCCATTTGGACTCTATTGGGCGTATTCGCATGGATTGGTGCGATTTGTATTTCCATGCCGTGGATCCGCAATCACAGCAAATAGCCCCCGTCGATGAAATTCTGAAGGACATTGACAGAAACTATGATTATCTCAAGGTATATATTTTTAAAATTTCAATAATCAATGATATAATCCACGCGCATCTCCCGTTATAGGATTACTATGCAGGCTTTGCCATAGAGAATGTTGTGCCTGCTTATATAGCGATTGTGCAGGATGAGTTTGATTTGGCCGTGGCTGGTCTTGTCGCACTGGTCATAGTGCTCTTTGTGGGCGTCATTAGCTTCATTGTACTCTGCTGCTGTCTGAAGCATTGGAATCTCTCAGTGCCCGTAGAGACACGTCGCAAGGAGGCCTTGATCAAAAAGCAAATAATCGAGGACTTGAATACGACGGAGAATCCGCTCTGGATTGAACAGTATGTACTCCTTAATCTTAACTTAAATTTCATTCATTTATTTAATTACTATTTATTCATAGAAAACTCAAGCTGTATGAAGAGCAAGAGTTGACCATGCAAGTATTTTCGGAGCCTGATCACATATCTAACTCAGATGCTCCAGGTCATTTAGATCATCGCAGTTCCCTGGAACAGGTGCATCATGGCCAGTCGGTGGACAACACGTATGCCACCATCCAGCCACGCAACAATCAGAATCGCCTGACTGCCGGCTCTGGTGGCAACGGTGGTGGTGGCTCCATTTCCATGCGAAGCGGTGGTGCAGCCAGTGGCGGTGGGATTGGCGGTGCTGGCCTGCTTCTAACACGTATTGATCCGCATGGAAATGATTTTGCGGACTATGCAACGCTCCGCAATAATCGAGCTCCTTCTGTAAGATATTGACCAATGAAATGCATATAGAAAATAATAGAAAATAATTTGGGTCCTCTTCATTTTGCAGATGTACGAGTTCACGGGCTCCACATTCCAGGCACCAATACGGGATGGTGACGACGCCGTAGCCGAGCTTATTTAAGCAGTTCAATCTGCAGCTAAAATCTGAATTGTAAATGTTGTAGTAGCTAACTATATAGAGAACCCGTAGATACGATTTAGTTCAATTCATATAATTTTTGCATATTCCGAGTTAGCCGTTGCGTAAATATAACTTTATATAAGTGCATATATAGACACTATCATATACACAATTATATTCATATACATATATATATACATAGCGTAGTGGTATATAATATGCTAACGAATATTTCAAGCTCAACTAATCAAGAAACAAAACGAAACTTTATAATACTAACGTATTAGTGTGTAAACGGCTACAAACTAAACCCCATAGTGGAATTTCTCCCGCATAAATAATGACAATAATATATATGAACTAACCGCACATATATATATATATACATGCATATAAATATATACCTATATATATCTACTGAAAATATGGATGTCTAGCGTAATATGTAAGCGATAGTTATGGTTAATATAATTGATTTACTCGACTTGAATAACGCCGCGATATTAGTTTAAACGCGAACTCACTTTTATGTATTACTAAGTTATACCATTTAGAAAAAGACTAAATTATTTGCTCTTCCAATTCGTATTACGTTAGTTTCGGTCTTTAACTATTAGTCCTTAAGTTCATAGTTTAATTAGCCGCGCTTGCTCATACACTTAAGTTAATTATATTTAGTTCAAGATATTATTATATAAATACATAGAAGACGTTTGTGCAACATCAACTGTTCTATGGAGTCCATGAGAACAGAGTCATAACTCATTTGTTTGCATTTACAGTATGAATACGATATAATAAACAATCAAATAAACAAATAGCATATGTTTTTGTAAGCCACATCCCCTTTGGTTAACAAACCCCTTCCACCTGTTGATATTTGGCTGGTAAACAAAAGTTTTCTCCGTTGCTCGACTGTAACAGTTGCTAGGAACAATAAACAAACTCAGGCCTCTTTTCGATGTTTCCCCAATACAGGCATTTCAGCTTTTCAAATCAACAAAAATTGTTGAACACGTCGGATCGAATACACACAATTATATTTTCCATAGATTACCTTATTGTTTTTCTGTTTTGATTTGAAATTGATCGAAGAGCACCAAAGTCAGCAAGATGGATGAAATGGAAATTGCAAATGTGGGCCATTTCCAGACCCTGGTCCGCTACAATAATCCGGTGCTGGTTGTCAAGCATCCGGACAAGAAGGGCGCTCCGCTGACGGAGATGGAAATGAAGCGCCCTCAAACAGCAGGCGCTCTTCTAGATACCAAGAAAGAGACAGAGGAGATATTGAACTCTATATTACCTCCACGCTGCTGGGAAGAGGATGGTCAATTGTGGCAGCAGTCTGTGTCCAGCACACCGGCCACTCGCCAGGATGTTATCAATTTACAGGAAATGCTGGATACTCGCCTACAGCAAACACAGGCCCGCGAGACGGGCATCTGCCCCGTTCGTCGCGAGCTCTACTCTCAGTGCTTTGGTGAACTATTATATGCTGAATTTACTTTCATACACACTATAATAAGTTTCCTAATACAGATGAGATTATACGACAGGTAACAATCAATTGCTCGGAGCGCGGATTACTCCTGTTGCGCATTCGTGACGAGATTGCAATGTCTATGGAAGCCTACGAAACTCTCTACTGTAGCTCTGTGGCGTTTGGCATGCGAAAAGCTCTGCAGGCACACGAAGAGAAGGAAATGCTGCGCGATCGTGTAAAGACATTGGAGTCAGATAAGGAAGCTCTGGAGGAAATCATTTCCGACATGAAAATGAAACAGGAGCAAGCGGAACGCCGTAATGCCGAATTGCGCGCCTCCGAGGAGAAGAAGTTCACTGAGGAGATCACATTCCTTAAGAAGACCAATGCACAGCTCAAGGCCCAGCTGGAGGGCATTACAGCACCGAAGAAGTAAAAGGGGTATATTATGTGTGTGCGGTCATTTTGCCGCATTTAATAAATTGTTAAAAATGATTGGAATTAAATGTTATGTGCATCCGCTAAGAAGTTTCCTGTTTCGATTCAACAGTTTCCTGCTCTGTAGTGGTAGCGTCAGCCTCTTGGCCTTGCGTTTCCTGCTGTTCCATTTCAGGCTCGTCTACGTTGATCTCGTTAACTATTGGCGTGGGCTTAAATGCTTCTTGCGTCTTTTTAGTATTATCCTTTGCTACCTTTTTCTGAGGCGGCTGTTCATTGGCTTCCGTTGCAATCGCTGATGCATCGTTATCAGAATCATCTGCATCGTCCTTTGGTAGCTGGCTACGCATGGCTTGCATCTCTTCCTCAGTGGGCAGCGTCTTCTTGAGCTCCTCCATTTTAGTCATGTAAAGCTCATAGACAAACTGCGCCATCTCAGACATGTTTTCTATGGTTTTACAAACATCGTCAGATGGCGTTTCGCTCGTAAGTCGCTTGGTTGGATATTCTTCGGCTGGCACCAGGCGCAACTTTAATGGTCGCTGCATGAGCTGGAATATACTTAGATTAGTTTCGGTGTCTAGCATTTCTCACTTGCTCCACTTACCAACTTGAAGGTCTGCTGTAATTCCAGGCAATTCTTGAATAACGATACGCGTCCAAAGATGTACAATCCGAGACGTGCTCGACTCATAGCTACAACCAAGCGACGCACATCTCGCAAATGGCCAACAGCCTTTGTACGCACCAATGAAATTAAGATGAAGTCATTCTGCTGGCCCTGGTACTTGTCCACGGTGGTGATCTTGTGCGGCCAACCAATAAGCGGATTGTTACCACATCGAGCATTGATAACATCGCGAATGAGATGCTTCTGTCCATTGTAGGTGGTCAGAATTGATATCTTCGCAGCTGGATAGCCAACCAAACGCATGTACATGTAAAGAGCAACGATGTACTCCGCCTCAGCAAGATTCTGATTGAGAAAGCTTGGTAATCAATTTTTCATGAATATTCAATAATATTTACACTTACCTGATAGAAATAAGGACTCGGTTCACTTTCGCCCACGCCCTTGAAATCTTCCACATTAACAAGCTGATAATCGTAGACTAAGCCAGTATTTGCGTGATTATATTCATCATGCTGGAAGATGTGATGCAGGTCTGACAGTTTCTTGTAGCGCCATCTATAAAGCGAGCAAATGCTGGAACGTGCACGTCCCTGACCATCTAAATCAACAGTTGGTACGCCCAGGCGAACCAAACGAGTGAACAGACTCTGTTCCATGTTCGAGTACTTCTGGAACGCCATGTTCTTAATGACGGGTGGCAGCTGGTGATGATCACCAATCATAATCCAGCGTTTCAGGCGATTGAGACCGTCCAGCGGATTCTGCAGCAGTAGCGGTATAAATGTTTCTATTTCCAAGATTTGCGCCGACTCCTCCATTAATATGTTGTCATAACGAAAACCTAGATTCACGAGCTCCTTACGTTTGAGCGCTGCATGTGTACAGGTCATGGCAATGATTTTGGCCTCCTTGACAAGCAAATATTTAGAGCGATCTAAACCTGTGCGCAACAGCTCAAAGGCGCGGAATTCCTCCAGTTCGGTGAATATGTCGGATATATATCGAAAGTTAGACTGAGCTATGCTCATAAGATTATCAAAGCTGTTTCCTTTAAAGAGTGGCTGTGGCGCATCGGCAAAGAACTTGGAAAACGGAAATTCAGCTTCAAACAGCGCACAAAGCTTAATCATATCCGTTTCCTTACTATAAGCTAGCATTTGACTTTGAAACTTCTCCCAACGTGCCATCACATTGTACAGATAAAAGTATCCTGCCGTCTCGCAGGTGTAGGCATTATCGCCGCTAACATTCAACGCCTCCTGCAATCGCTGAACCTGAGTAAGTAAATCCATACGCTTGGCCAGCACATAGTTAACACGTCCATAGCGACTGAAGTCCTTTTCGGTTTCTAGCGCCTCTTCACCATGACCCAGACGCAGCAAATGCCGCTCATCAATATCCAGAGCCATAATCTTCTCGAACAGCTGATTCAGAGCTTGATTTGAGTGTGTCACAATCAGCGTGCGTTGATTGGGTTGATTGTGGTAAATGTTTGAGATAATCTGAACGGCGACATCTGTTTTTCCTGTGCCAGGAGGGCCAACCACCAGGGTAAGACCCGGCTGCATGCCAGCGCGTATCGCCTCGATTTGTGTGGGCGTAAAGCGTATGCAATTCCTAGGGAGGCAAATTTAATAAGGTTTTGTTTCTATACATTTGGCATACACACTTACTGTTTGGGTTTGTCGCTAGGATAGGGACCTCTCGCCTCGAATTTATAAGGCTGTACAACAATTGATTTAGAAATGCGCGGCTGATCCGTTTCCATTTCCTCCGTATCACTGTCACGCTGCTCAGCCACATCTTCAAATGTGAGACGATAGGGCGGGGACCTGTTTTCCTCAGGCGCTTCGCATTTGAGTTCGTAATCGGGGAAACTGGCTTTTAGATGCTCGTAGTCAAGAAAGGTGTCATTGAACTCAAGAGTACGTTCCTGATTAGGCATGTTGCTGTAGTGAGCCGCTGCCGGATCGCCATAGCCTAGCAGTATGTCATGTAGCCAGGGAGGCACCACACACTCTGTATTCATAAGATGCCGAATGGTCTCCAGCACGGCTTTGAAATTGTTCTCCTTTGGCTTGCGACGCATCAAAATGTTGAAACTCTCATAGACGTCGTCGGCACCCTAAATAAATCAAGTAAGCATTACCGACCAACTGATGATATTCTAAGCTCACCTCTTGCAAGTCGTCCATGTCCATGCGATACTGATTGGAGTCCAGCCACACTCGATAGCTTCGCTGCTCACCCGGCAGCATGGGCCGCGGCTCTGGCCCGTCCTCAATGACACGCCCATTAGCATCCAGCATGCCTTCCACCTCGCAGCCCCGCACGCTAACCAAACCTACTTGAGGTATGAACGGTTCCCGGGGATTATACTTTGTGCCGTACGGCATCGTGGGCTTTACCGTGATAAGGAAGCAGACGTCGTGCTTCCGCAGATTCTCCCATTCCTCCTTAATCTCGCGGCGTACTGAGAGCGTTACCCCCACATCGGCACGCACTCGCGATGGCTTCTTCTCGCCCAGATGCGGCTTGGCCACCTCGACCACAGCGAAGCTGGTGATAGGCAGTGCCATGCGTGCCCAACCACCAAAGACAACATCACCGTCTTCCGACTGCCACGGCAACATCCGGCTGACAGCATCCTCAACATCTTGTCGAATCTCATAGGTGGACTCCAGACGAAATAGATTAAAATTGCGAAGCAGATAATCGTGGAGCGTGAGGAATTGTAGATTTAGCTTGGGCAGAGCCAGGCAAGTGTCGCCTGTATAATATTCGGATGGCACAAAATTTTCATCCCAAATGATCTGCTCTGTTGGATACAGCGGCATCTCGTTCAGCGCTTCCAGCTGCGAGCATCGTTTCTCATGTCGCATGATGAGCAGCTCACGCAGGAACTGTTCATCCAAGCGATGCCATTCGAATGGCTCCACGGCTTCCTCGGGCACAAGATTAAGAAAGGTGGCTATTTGCTTTAGCCCATCTGCATCCAATGCGCCAAAATGTTTCTCTAGCGATTCACGAGTGTCAACTGACGCCACATTGGATAATGCAAAGATGCGCAACGTAGAGAACTTGGCAAACACAGCGCGCTGTAGAGACGTAATCTTTTTATAATGAAGCTGGGTCATATCATGATCAGTCAACGAGTTGCCCGTCACATCGTTGATTTCGAAACGGGTGTAAAACTTGAGCATATCTAAGAGCTATATAGAATGTTTTGGACAGTGTTAGCAATTAGATCATTATAATATAATATCGATATTCGTAATAATTATTAATATTAACGATTATATACTAGCAATAAAACAGAAACATGATATTGTATATTACATATACAGTACCGAGCAAAAATGAGTGAATGTTACAGAACTTTGACTTTCATCACGCATAAAAATTAAACCATACCAGCAAATCAACAAATTTTTTTGTGTGTTTGTTTATTAGTGTATTCTTAACAAATACAAAAAAGTTGCAAGGCTAAATTAGCAAAATTCAAAAAATTAGAAATAAAAAACCGAAAAAATCCACATAAACTCAATTTTGCACGTTTAAAAAAAAACTACTAAAAACTAAAAAAAACTAAACATTTTTAATATTTAGTCTAAAACCCTTATTAGCAATAATTTTGTTGACTATTTTTGGCATGCTCTCAGCCAAACTTTGAATCATTTCTTTCGGAAATTGGCTCCACTCCGCTTCTACGCGCTCCCATAAGCTGTCAATGTTCGTTGGGGCTGCATCATACTGTCCCAGCCGTCTTTTCACTATTGAACACAGATTTTCAATAGGATTGAAGTCGGGATAGGATTTATATATAGACTCTATATGTATGGAGCGAAAATTAGCTTAAAATTCTGCTTTCCTATCCATTCCTAAATAATCTTTACAGTATGTTTTGGATCGCCATCTTGTTAAAACCCTTTTCTCTGTGGGGACACGCACATTTATCAGTGAATTTGGGAAGATGGGTTTGAAGAATATTCATATAATCCTTCCTCTATGTAGAGGATCAACGTTCTACCAAGAGAAGCATCCCCAAACCATAATGCTGCCGCAGCCATGTTTGACGATTTCCTTTACATGATGTCGTTGAATGCGTTCCCCAGGTCTGCACCAGCAATATTGCTTTCCAATTGATTGGAAACGGTTAAATTTTAATTCATCTGACCAAACAACTCGTTTCCAATCATAAATGCTCCAGTTTTTGTGATCCCTTGCAAATTTCAAACGCGCCTTCATATTCTTTTCGGACAATGCAGGTTTGTTTTTTAACGAATGATACATATCCGAAGCCACGAATTTCTCTTCTAGCAGTCCATTTGCTAACATTTTTATTAATTACTAGAGAAACACCCTTTGGTGCTAGCAGCTTGTTTTTCTTAATTTTCGACATCATTAGGCGAGCATCAGAGCCCGAGAACAGTTTTTTGCAACCTTTGACTTGAGTTTTCGGAGTCAAATTTTGGCTGATTCAAAGCTTTTCGGCAATAATAAGCGAAGGAAATCCCTTCCCGGTCAGGCACACACCACTATTTTCAATGTCGACTGAAATTTTCCACATTTTAAAATTATATTTCACCAATTATTTTAAATTTGTTGCGAAAAGAAAATGTGCTTCAAATCGCTTTACAAATAAGAATATTAAAAGGACTAAGATAACGGTAAATCTACATGCTCAATCTACGACTAAGAAGAATACCCCAGGAGCAAAGTTATGGGGAAATCTGGATGATTTCGGCTGAGAAGAGAAGTAGAAGAGCCAAAGTATTGGCAATTATGAAACGTGCAAAATTGAGTTTATGTGGATTTTTTTGGTTTTTTATTTTTCATTAATTGAGTTTAGCTGATTTAGCGTTGCAACTTTTTCTATTTGTTAAGAACAAACTAATAAACAAGTATAAAAAACAAAATCTTAATTTGCTTGTATGGTTTAATTTTTATGCGTGATGAAAGTCAAAGTTGTGAAACATTCACTCATTTTTGCTCGGTACTGTACATGCATCTGATGCAGTCATCATTATTAGGACGCCTCTAACTGAACCGCTCCTGTGTTGCTTTGCGTGCATTGAATGGAACGTATTTTTTATTACCACTACCTGTGCTCAGAACTCTACAAACACATATATAGAGTCGCACACAAGCATCTAGAAAGAACTCTCTTCGAGTCGCTAGCACAGGTAACATGACGCTATAGAGAGAGAGAGAGAGAGAGAGAGAGAGAGAGACCTGGAGGCGGTCTGTAATAGCCGCTTAATTCCACTACGTCATCATTTTGGACAATACACTAAGAGCTGTGCGAGTCGTAAAGTCTACAAAATGTCAACCTTAACTTGGCATTGGGAGAGTGTAGAACGCTAATTATACGAACAAGTTAACAAAAAGCAGTTTGTCCAGTTGACGGAAGTCCTTATTAGGCTAGCAGAGAAACAAGATATGTGAATGATATTTAATATATTTATATATTAGAAGGACAAAAATTCCCACACTAATGACATGAAATCTCTTCTCTTCACAGAGATTTTTGTGAAAACTGAAAATATATGGGTGTAGATTGTATGTTTGTGGTAGGTGTGATATGAGAAGGGATTCTTTTAGGGAGACGCGCGTACAAACATATTGGGGTTCCGCTTCTGCCTCTACTCCCAAGTGATGACTAGTGGGACGCAATGAAAGACAAGGCACGAGTTTTCAATGGCAACGAGGGGTTGTTGCAGTTGCAGTTGCAGATGCATTGTGATGGGATGCACAAAGACGCCAGCCATATACGAACTCTGTGGATGGAGTGCCTTGGCGTCTTATCACATCATCACACGGACAGGCAAACAAACAACAAACATGCACACACCTACACACACGCAGTCAAACACACATTTGGAATTGCCGGTTCTTTGAGTCGCCTCTTTTGCTCCAATTGATAATTTCCGTTGTTCAATTTACACAAAGCAAACGAAAAACGCTTGAGTTTGTGTATGTAGAGAGGGAGAGAACGAGATTAACTCAAAGCCCTGCTTCAACGATTTGTCGTGCTTGGTGGTTGCTGTTGTGGAATGTGGTGAGCAGAAGAGACGACTCAGAGGGGAAGCAAACTCTACACTCAGCGAGTGCCAACTGCTGCTGCTCTCTCAGTCTGCTTGAGCTAGTCACTAGAAGTTAAGAGCGCGAGCCGACGCGCTCCACAGGCAAACCAAGAGAGAGAGAGAGAGAGGGAGAGCCGCACTAGAGTCATATTCACATTCTCAGCCGCAGTCTCAGTCAGTTGTCGTTCGCAGCGGTTGGCTGTCTTTGGGAATTTGTGCGCTTGCTGTGTAAAGGGCAAACAAAAGTTGTTTATCAAATAAGCAATAGTATCTCGTGTATATTCGGCAGACTATGTGAAACGATCAGATTCGCTTGACTTTAGCTTTAGTTGCATATTCACCCGGAAACCCTAAACGTGTGTTTGTTTGCATTTGTGTTGAACTCTACAAAGAAATAAAAGTGAGGAAAAGAAACTCTCGCTCGTCGTCTGCTGTGGCTTGAGTTTTTGGCATGCAAGTCATGATCTTGGCTCGAAACCGGCATCAGCCACAGCTTTGATGACGCATTCGATTACAACTCTGAGTACGAATACGTGTATCTGTGTCAGTGTCTGTGTCCGTAGGTGTATCTGAGTTAGCTGTGTGTATTTGAGTATGATGCTCGTATTTACGCTTGGCGCGCAAATTCTGCCCTACCTGGCGAAGTGCAGCTGCCTTCTGCTGGCCCTTCTCTCCGCCCTACTAGCCGTTGCCGTCTCCGCTCATGTGGGCAATAACAGCTCAATACAGGCGGCAGTGCCAGTCGCCCACGATCCCAATCTGGTGCTGGTGAACAAATGCTGTGAGAAGTTCGAGATCCACGTGAACAATACGTGTCAGCAGGTCAACCAGACGGGTAAGTTGCCAAAGCCTCAACAGATATCTGGGATAGCTGGGAATACTCCATAACATTCGACCGTTGTCAAGGGCGACGCCAATCACAATTAGTTCAACTCCGCTGTCGGCTTGGTCATTCAACTCTATTGGATTTTGGCTCTTGGCATGCAACATATGGCCAAACATAAATGCCACATTAGCTGGCAATCAATAGGGCAACCGAATGGGCGCAGCTAGCCAAAAGTCTTTTTTATTCTTTCATAAACAGAGCTAACATGATTTATGATTTACTGGGCGCATTTCCATTCGAGCAAAGCATTTAAGAAGTTCGCTATTATTTGTATAACTTACTCAACAGTTCACGCCTAATTTTGATTTGTTGGATATTTATTTATTTATCTATTAGTATCATTCATACTAGACAGCCTCCGAGCTAGCTTTAAGTCGGAGTGCACCAAATTCTCACATATCAATTAAGACTACTCAAAGAAATACGAAGACCTCTATTAACATTCGACTCGACTGCTATATCATGCAACATGATCAACTACATAAATGAAAGCTAAAGCAATTAACGCAACTTGCAGAAAATATTGGAAACTGAAATATTGTCTGGCGTCAATTGATGCTGTTAATGCAGCTATATATATATGTGTCTATGCATGTGTGTGTGTGCGTGTGTATGTCCAAGAGAATCTGGATTTGTGCTGCCTCTGAGCACGTAAATATTTATAGACATGGAGTGCTTTATGATTAGCTTTGTTCGCCTGTGCTTGCCCCGTTGCTCTATTGATGCGCTCCGTTCTCCTTCTCCTTCTTCTTCTTCTTCTTCTTCTTATTCAATTAATGCGATCCGGCACTAATGCCTTATGCGTATATCTGTATTTGCCTTTAATAGACTATTTCGAGCCGATGTTCACCAGCTACAGTGGCGATCAGAACAGACCAGTGGCCCATTTTAAGTTCGTTATAGGCCTGCCCAACTGTGGCAACAAACAGATGTGGCCTGTTCTGGACTATGTGGGGGTAAGCACATCTAACTGCAGTGACAATTGGAACTGCTCTAACTTATGATTTTCCCTTGCAGAGCTACGACAAGTTGGTCCTCTTGGATGATGGCAAACTGCGGCACTATACGAATACAGAGGACGAGGCTGACGAGCAGCGCGGCGTGCAGACGGACTATGATGAGGATTTGGCTGAGGCGCAAAAGCCACGTTTCTACGACTATGAGCAGGGTCAATACTGCCTCGATAAGGTTTGTATTTTAAATATACGACAACAACAACAACAATAATTTGTATATTTCAGGCCATTTCGCCAGAGCATAAACACAGCCTTTTTGCGCACATCTGTTTGGCCAGGAAGGAGAATAATTGGAATGATTCGAACTTCTTGCTGCGTAAAATACTCAATCCCCTATTCCACGGCATATCGCTGATTATCTTGCTGATCATCGCCATTATCTATTTCATACTGCCCACACTAAGGTGAGATCAGTTGTTGAATATGGAGTACTATATGTATAATGTTATTCATTGACACATTTGTTTCGTTTAGCAGAGATCTGGTTGGGAATATAGTGACTACGATAGCCATGTGCCTGATGGTAAGTCAGGCGGCAGACCTGGTCTGTATCTTCACAGATTTCACAAATCACGTCAGCTTCATTGTGGCTGATATAATACTCTGCTTCAGCCTTCTGGCCGCATTCTTCTGGCTGAACAGCTTCGGCTACTACATATGGAAAACATTTCGGTCGAGGAATGTATTTCTGCGTGTCACCGATGGACGTAAGTATTGCTACTACTCGTTCTATGCCTGGGGCTGCACGGCCACCATGGCTGTGCTCGCTGTATTTGCACACTTCTTCCTGGACGCGGACTCGTACAAAAAGGAGAACATGCGAGGCGAGCAGCAGACGATTGGCTGGCTCGGCATTTGCATATTCTTTGCACCCATTGCATGCACGATTATAGTGAACATATTCTTCTATGTAACCACGCGGAAACTGATCAATCGGCGCACCGTCTACGGACGAATTGCACACAAGCTGAAGGCCAAGTGAGTTGAATGTCGTCTATCCTCCATATCGATATTGAATAAATTTAATTGTCTTGCAGCTTTATCATGTTCTCACTAATGCTGCTAGTGATGTCGTTTTCCTGGCTGTTTCTGACCATGTCATGGCTTGCCTTGGACGGTCTGCTCTATGCACATATCATAGTGAATGCGTTCCAGGCGCCGCTGCTGCTCTACATATGCGTGCTGAGGCAGCGTCATGTGACTTATCTGCTGAAGAAGTCCTGCTGCTACAATGAGCCGCCCTCAGCGAACGATTGGGGTGACGAAATGCACTACATGAACGGCAACGAATATTGAGTGCCCTCCACCCCTGCTCCAAAGCCAAGTTATAGTTGAGTCTGGGCCTTAGTTTTTCATCAACTAATTGTAAGATCTACTCGTAGCTATGCTAAGTGTTTTTGTAGTTTAACAATGTTAAACATTGGGAATTGTACTTAAAGCTAATTTATAGAAGATATAATTAAAAAAAAGTCTGATACATACCTGACCAAATAGTTTGCCCTCTTCCCGCTGCACCAATGGACTCATGACTGCGCGCACAATCAGGTGGCAATCATCCAGCACGGTATTGAAGAAGCGACGCGTGGGCAACAGAGCCTCCAAGTCAATGATAAATTCCAAGAAGCGCTCGCAGTAATGAACCACGTTACTATTGAGATCACCTTCCAATGGAATGCGCTCCAGTATGCGCAAAAAGTCTATGATTAGATTCTGCATAAAGTGACGTTCCCACATGACATCGGGCTTTACATTCTCCTTTTCCTTTTTCTGCAAGCGCTTCCAGTATTTGCGCCATTCGGGCACCTCCCGCAGCTCTTGTTCGCGACGACCTACAAATTTTACACATTAATTTAAATAAATATATACATGCAGACGATTTATTCTACATACGCGGCTGTAGGCAGTGCCACATAGAGAGGGAGACGAGGCGTTTTGCCTGCTCGCGACAAAGCTCGATTTCCATGCTATTGAAACAGTGATTTAGAAACATGAGCAATGCTGTCCGCTCGCGCATTGTGCTCTTATTTTGCTTTGTCGCTTGGTCGGGTAAGCAGCTCTCCAGCACGTGACGAAAGAATCCCGGGAATTCCTCCGGCAACTGCTCAAACACATTCCAAACCTCGACGCGCTCCCGAAACTTTTCGTTTGACATAATCACGATAGACATTAAGTGTGCGTGTGTAGCCGACTTGCGCTTGTAGTTGGGCCACAAATACTGCTCCAGGTACTGGCTAAATTCTAGCATATTAATGCGACGTGCGCTGCCCTTTCCACTAGAAATCTCGTCCGCATATATGCGCTCTATGATGTCAGCATTATATGGCAAATGTTTGTCCTTAGTCTCAGGCGACCAGTACTGTGATGCCAGCTAAAACAGCATCAATGCAACACATATAATGTGTAAACGTTTAGGTCTTGCGGAGCACCCACCTGCCAAATAACATCAGAGCTGAACTGATCCAGGGTAAGTGTACCAATCTTTTCCTTAGACTTCTTGTCGGCTTCCTTGGTCGCTTGCGCGTTTGTTTGACTGCGGCGTTTCATTTTGATGTTTGAAAATTATACAAAACTACAAATAAAAAGTTTTGCGAAATGTCAAAACAAATGCCGGCCGCGAACAATATGACCGTACGAAGCAACCGATAAAATATCACAAAAGAAAATAAATATTTTGTTGCAGCCCTGCCTGAATAAAATTGACCAAGCTTACTAAGCTCATAAGCATTAACAGTAATGCTTAAAGTAAAGAGGCACATAAATATATATTGCAATTTCTTCTAATTCTTATGTTAAACGATTTTATTTTATGTGTCACCTTCACCTTTCCATCATTCAATTACACTATCGATAACAGACACAGACACAAATGGCAACGCTATTCTGCTTGCTAAAATTGTTTGATACAAAAATAGTTTGAGAGTCATAGTTCAAACGCCGACAGCATGTCTCAGCCGATGCCTCCAGAAAATATAAATGCAAGTAGAATTTGCTATTTAACGGTGGTTGATTAATTAAAATTACGAGTAAATTTGCAGAGCCACATACTGGCTGTGCTCAGCCTTCCGCTGCTTGACAAACTGGCACAACTGGAGTTATTATTCGACCGCTGCACCATTCGTCAAATTCAGGACATTTACCCGCTCATTGTCCACTCGATATTTGGAGTTAATAGCAATCCGCTGGGATGGGGATTACGGACGACAACACTGGAAAATGCGGTGCATTCTTACAACAGGCTGCATCAATTCTTTGCTGTGAACGGCATTTGGATGCACATCTGCCATCGACTGCTAAACGAGACTACAAAATTCGAAATAGATATTAATTTATTGCCGGTTGGTAATTAATTAAATCGAATATTGAACATTGAATATTGTAGTAAACATAACTTATATTCTCTATTCACAGCGTAAATTCATAAGCATGCTGCAAGGGGGTCCAATGTTCTACTCCGATCTCATCAACATCGACCCTATAAAGCATCAGTTGACCACGCTCTCCCTCAACGCCTTCGACTTCTATATGCTTCACTTTGTGCTGCACGCGCTGCAGCCTCTGCACACCATCAATCCCATTGCTATGCAGATACACAGCGAGAGGACGAAGACAGTCTATCAGCTGCTGGTTGCCGAGTATTTGGATAACTTCTTGCCCCAGTATCCAAATGCCAACATTGAACCATCAAACTATGCTAACAGTGTCAAGGCGCCGCAACAGCTGCCCGCTCCGTCGCTGCAGCCGCAGCGGCAGCTGCGTTATCTTAAGCTGCCCAGCTCTTATCGCAACGAAAATGGAGAGGCTGAAAGTGTAGGGGTGGCAAACACGTCGTCGCAGTCTTCGGCGGATGGCCATGCGACTGCCAGCCGGATCTATACCTGGCGCTCCGAGTCTGTGGTGCATTTCTTCGTTGATATTTGGTTGCGTTATGACGTCGAATCGGAGCACCATCTGCCCAGCAGCGAGTTTGTGCGAGGCGTTCGTACGCTTGTCAAGCAGATACATTTCTTTGCCAATGGTTCTCGTATGGATCACAGTCCGCTCTGTCAGCTGAGAAAACTCTCCCTAAACATGGTTAAGGGGCGCATCTATGCCTTCCTCTGCAGTCTGATCGATCGCTGGCCGCTGGACAGCTCGTTGAGTGTCGTTTTGGAGCTCTGGCTGAGCTACATTCAACCGTGGCGCTACACTATGGGCGCTACCAATCGAACGTGAGTGGTAGCATTTGAGAAGTCTCAATTGCCTTCATATTCATATTCATATTTATATTCTCTTTTCTTCTCTTGCAGCATGGGAATAAATTATGAGCCACCTATTACATCTGTCTACGACGGCTTCATAATAGACAATCTGATTGTTTATACACATATCTTTATGCAGCTGTTGCCTCGATTTGAGCGACTGGATTACTCGGTATATCGTAATGCTTACATGCTGCATCGCCTGGCCAAAACGTTCGCACAGCAGGATTTGGTTGAACGATTACAGCGCTTCGAGCGACTGCACTCGGGCAATTCTTATGGCTTTGACTCGCCTCAGCGACAGGTCAATATGTTGAAGTAGGTTTGATTTGCAAATCGTGTCTGCTGCAACTGCAATCAGGTTTCATTCATTTAAATTTCAGCAAATCACACAACAGTTCCTACAATGCACAATGGAATCCCTTGGTCAGCTCCAATATACCATTGCTTTTTAGTGAGCATATGCATTCGAGAATTCAAAGCTTTCTGTTTGGCATAAGCATGGCACGAAATTCTGTGCTGACGAATATAATTAGTACGCTGCGTAAGGAGATTATGGACCGACAACGTTCAGAGGGCTATATTAAAAATCTATTGAAGAAGATTCTTGGCGAGACAACGCAGGATGAAATAATGCTACGTGATCTGAGTCGCATACCCGAGGTGCTCCGTCAGTGTATAGATGCATTCTGTCGCACCTTCAATGTAAGTCCCTCTTGTCCCAGTTGTCTGTGTTTCTTAAAGTAAAACTACATATTTCATCAGGTGGATCCGAGCACATTGTCTATGCACGAAACCCTACCAGCGGAGCCGAGTCCGCCGGCTTCCCCTTCTTTGCAAGATTTTAGCTTTTTCGACTCGAATGACGTGCTGGATGCATCAATGTTGACTCCCCATCAAATGTCACTGAATACCTCCAACATGCAGCCCACAGTCGATCCTGCGCTGCTGCCAATTAAGTCAAACGAGATTAAACCGCTGGTGAGACTGCTGCACCGTATATCGGAGGCTATCAACAACAAAGTAAGTGCCCAGCACCCTGTTTTTTGTGGGATCCAATTGATGCTAATTTGCGTAAAATTCCTGTTAGTATGGCAGCCGAATAGCAGCTTTTTACGAGCGAGACGACTTTTATGGAAAGCTCTCACGCCAATTGCTGTACGCGCCCATGACAGAAAAGTGGTTTGAAAAAAGCAATGGCAACGTGGATATTTACGAGAAGCAGCTACCACCGCGCGTTAGTCTACGACCGCTCGGCTCCATACCCTCGATATGTCTGATGATATTTGCATTGTGTTTTGGCCACTTGTGGTGCGGTGAGGCAATAATTGGCCTACTGCTTCTCTGTACAGTGCTCCTTATATACTGCATGATATTGGCATTGTTGTCATAAGTGATTTATATATGTATTCTGATTATAAAATTTATATATTTTTAAAACCTGAACGAGCTTTTTGTGTAATCTGCAAATGTAATTTAAATTTGGCCAATACTTTGACTTTGAAGGCAGTGAACTATACAAATGATTAACATTTTGAACGTTTCCCACAGTGAAAAGCTTATGAATAAACTATCTCATCATTACCGATTGCTCGACGGCTTTTTAAATGTTCATAGTATTCACTATGTCTTATCGCTTTTAATAAATAAAGATTAATCTTGTATTTTTGCTATGTCAAGCACGCATCGTCACTATTCCATTAGCAGTGAAAAGCTGCCACACAATTATTATAAATAATTGAATTAGTTGATGAACAATGGCATTCTCAAATATTGAATACAGCAATCTTTTTATTTTGTATGGTGCGTATTGCATGATGCAAATTTGATTTTGTTTATAGACCTATAAATAGAATTGTTGCACTCGCGAAATTCCAAAAACCGTATAAAATGTTTACACAAATTTCTTGGAATAAATGTTGATGTATATATATGCTATATAAATTTATACGTGTATTAATACAAAACAAAACAAGTATTTGTTTCGTATCGTTTATATATGTATGTATATAATTAAATATTTTTAGATATCACAAGTTTCAATCCTAATGAGCTTATCGTGGATAAGGATAAGGATAAGGATAAGGATTGAGGCGTAGGAATTCATCAGTCAGGTGACAGCTTACTATGCAAAGTGAAGGAAGTGAAATGTAATGAAGTGAAGTGTATATAATTCGTGAAGTGCTCAGCATTTAGATTATGCTATAAGATTATATTAAATTGCATTTATGTTCAAAAGATTGTGGATTTTACACATTCAGCGCGCACGATAAGATTATTTTGGGCTGGGCGTATAGCTGTGTGAGACGGCGGCACACTTTTTCAGCGAGATTAAAGCGATCGGACGTGCTGTGCACTCCGCGCACAAATTAAAAATTCGAATTAAAAATGGATTGTAGTGCCAAACCTTCGCGTAAAAATCCATGTGCGCAAGCCAGTATTCTATCCCGTCTAACATTCGCTTGGTCTGTGCCATTGTTATTACGGGGATGCCGGCAGGGTCTCAATGCGGACGATCTGACCGAGTGCCTGAAGGAAGATCACTCCGAACAGCTGGGTAATCGACTGGAGCAGTGAGTATTTATTATTATCAGGATAGAATTATTTCAATTGATTGAAATATGCTCGCTTCCAGTGAATGGCTTAAGGAACTAGCGACCGCCCAACGAAAGTCAAGAAAACCCGAACTTAGCAATGCTTTGCTGCGATGCTTCTGGACCCCATTTGTAGTCAATGGCATTCTGTGCGTCATATATATTGCACTCAAGTGAGTAATACGTTTTTATACCCTGAACCCATTGAAAATGGGAAATCAGGGTTTAATGGTTTTGTTAAAAGTATGTAACAGGCAGAAGGAGGCGTGGCAGACCCCACAAAGTATATACATTCTTGATCAGGGCGACGAGCTGAGTCGATTTGGCCCTGTCCGTCTGTCTGTCCGTCCGTCCGTATGTATGAACGCGTCGATCTCAGAAGATATAAGAGCTAGAGACTTGAATTTTTCTTTTTCCTAGGTCCGTGTATATCACGCGCATATAGTTTTTTTCTATATATCGATAACTACCCCCGATATTTTATTATCGATTAAAAACCTTATCGAAAGCTAGTTATTTAATTATATCTCCAACACCTTTCGAGCTAGAGCTTCCAAATTTTAAATGTAGACTTATATGTATTTTACATAATTTCGATTTTTGTTGTAATTTACCCCCCACCCTTATTTCCACCCCCTCACCCTCACCTTTGTAAAAGGCGTATTTCAAGTACTAGAGACGATTATGATTATGATTATGTTCTGAACGTTTTATTAAGATTGTACGTCTAGAAATTAAATTAATCAACAATTTAATTCTTATAATGTTGCCCACACTGCAGCGCAGCCCAAGCGCAGTCGCTGCTTACTGCGCAGTTAGCAGA